CCCACTTGGGATGCCAGGGACAGCAGACAGCAAGAACGCAAAGGAGCCATTGGGGAAGAGCTGCTCCCCTACACACACATATAACATGAGCCTGCCCAGCTGGCCATGGGCCCAGGTGCTGCACCAGCCCCGCAGGGTGGTGGGAGGGAAGCCCCACTCCCTGAGCAGGATCCCCACTTCGGGTGAGTTGCTGGTTTTAACGATAACATTCCTCCAGCCCCACAGAAGGGCAAGAGGCCCGGGCCCCAGCTCAGCCGTGAGGAGGCTCTAGTGCTGCGGAGACACCAGAGGGGGGCGATGGAGACATGCGCCAGGGTAGAGCACTCTGGCAGCAGTGGTGCCTCCCCGGTGGCCTGCTTCGCGGTCTGTGAGCAGCGTCTCCATCAGCGGCAGGTACTTGCCTGGCAGGTTGTTGGTGTAGCCACCGTCCATCAGTAAGTTGCCATCCTTTGGGTCACAGAGTGGCGGCAGGTACCCGGAAAGGGTCATGCTTGCTCGCACATACCGCCACAGCGAGCCTAACCGGCAGGAACAGACGCAGTCAGGAGTCGGCCTCTTGCAGGCCCGGAGCCCCGGGGAAGGGAGGGCGCCTCGGCACCCAGGCTGGGGAATCTGCAGAGTCCTTGGAGCCAGCGAGAGTCTAGCCAACTGCCTAGAACTCAGCCAGGGGTTGGGTCCCGTCCTTGCCCCTTGCTCTGGAACAGCCGGTGCCTTGGATTGACTCCCAAAGGCCTCAGGAGAGACCGAGCACCTGGCCTCGTGGCCGAGGCTCCCAGCACCGGCCCCCATGAGGTGCAGATTTCTCAGCTTGAGCAGCACACATCTGGCCGGGGTGCTGGGATCCAGCCTGTGCCCTCAGGCCTGTCAGAACCAGCCCTCGCCAGGGAAGGACAAGCTATGGCATGGAAGGAGGCAGTGGCTGCAGCCCAACTTGGGGCGGCCGTGGCAGAGTATGGTGGGCAGGGGTTGCAGCCAGTTGCCACCCCGGCCCAGCCTGGCCTTCCCTTCCAAGCCACACAGGTCATCCCCGTGGCCCAGGGCCCGAGGAGTGCATGATGCTGACCTGGGACATTGTTAACATAGCAGCTGTCCACAAGCAGGTGGCTGTCCTTGGGGTCGCAGAGAGGAGGCAGGTAGGGGGGGTAAGATGCACTGGCTCTGACGTAGCGCCATACACTGCCTGCTGGAGGGAGAGGAGACAGTCACAGGGCACGGGGACAGCACAGACGGAGAGAAGACAGGAAACGACAGGACAGAAGCTTCAGAAATCCAGATGCCTTCTTTGGAGCAGGGGTACTGGGAGGTCTCCCCAGCCTGGCAGGGAGAGGGCACACCGGCTCAGACAAGGGGTGGTCTGTGCTAGGAGTCAGGCTGGGTGTGGGAACAGGTATCCCCTGCCACCCCCAGCCTAATAGAGGGACAGACCCTTGTGACATACCCAGAAATCCGCCCCCCACCAGAGGAGGGACCAATTCCCTGAACACCCGTCCCCCTCAGCCCACTCCAGCTAGTGGTGGCTACACTGACAACTGGGCTGGGCTATTCTACCTACCCCAACGTCCTGCTCGCTCTCCCTTGCCATGGGGCAGTGCCAGGCCCTGGCCCAACGAGACGCTGCTGTGTGCTTGCTGGCAGAAGGCTGCCCGGCAACACGCACACGGGCATGTTGGGACCAGCACTCAAGGGGCTGCGGGACCCCGGGGGCCAGGCCAGCTCGGGAATGAGGCTGTGCAGGCTATGACTTCAGTTGGCTGTCAGGAGCTCTTTGCAGGACTTTGCCTCAGCCTGCAGCCTCCACCTTAGACAGAGCTCTTCAGCGCCCAGGGCTCAGACGCCAGGACAGGACTGTCCAGGGCCGGAGGCAGCAGCACAGGCTGGGCACTGCTGGCCCAGGAGGAGATGGAGGCACACGCTGAGATGAGGGTGCAGGGGGTCCCCAATCACTGTTGTAGGCAGAGGCCCCATTCCATGGGCTTTGGGGGAAGGGCTTCAGCTGATGCCTCTGGATGCCAGCTGAGGACCCCTGGGTAGGACAGCAGGGTCCTGGTAGGGAGAAGGCCTTCCCCTGGCATCTGCCCAGGAAGAGAGCACTCACACACACACAGACAAGCCAGCCTGCCCCTCCCTGACCCATCTCCCTGGCCCCTGGCCCATGGACTCAGTGAGTTAGGGGTGAGTGGGGTTAGTTGGCGTTAGGACAGACAAGCAGGCAGAGTGAGAGCCAGGCAGTTACAGCTGCCGGGGCGCCCCGTGGACAGGCATGGATGGATCAATGTCCCAGGTGAGATCAGGCACCTGTGACAGACAAGGCACAAGATGAGGACCGAGGGCAGAGACTGAGTTTGAACCAGCAGCTTCCCCCTCCTACCTCTCCAGGGAGCCCTCAACCAGCACCACCACCCCTAAGTGCAAGGACGGAACGCTGCCCCTTGTCCGCCCCAGCCCCACCACACGCACCCCCCTCCACCTGCCTCCCCCAAGAGCCTCCAACCACCACCGCCTGGGGCGAGAACAAAGCGCTTCCCCTTTTTCCTCACCCCCCTCCCCACCCCACCCATAGCCCCCCCACCCTCCCAACCACCACCACCCAAGTGCAAGGACAGAATGCTTCCACAGCTCCCCCCACTCACCCAGAGCTGCCCCTGCTGCTGCTGCTAACACGCCATCCAGCTGGCCCAATGGGGGTGTCAGATGACAGGAGGGCCGCTCAGGCCAGACGTGAGGGGCAGGGGGCAGCAAGGTTAGTGTGTCCCATAGCCCCATCTTGTGTTCTCTCCACACAGTCAGGGGTGGAGGGTGTTACCAGGGTGAGTAGCAGAATTGTTACAATCAGGGAACAGGGGAAGAGCCAGACAGTGACCAAGTGGGCAGCAGAGTGTGGGAATGGGCAAGGGGGAAGGGAGGGACCAGCTCTGACCAGGAGCAGCGTCAGCAGCTCTTGGGCCTGGGTTCTGCTGGCCCAGGCTGGCCCTTGCTGCCCCCAGAAAGACAGGAATGGTGTTTGGCCGCTTGGGGATTCTGGGCCCTGAGGCCAGGTGATTAGGGGGAGCCAGCAGCTCCTGCTGCCACGGGCAGAGCCCTGGGTGGGGGAAGCCCCCAGGCTCTGGTGTTTGGCCCCAGTCAATTCGGGCTGAGTGCTCCCTATAAGGGGTGCCCCAGCCCCTGGGAGAGCAGCCAGGGTTGCTGCCCCAGGACAGCACTGCTGCGGAAGGAGGGGGTGGCCCAGAGCCTGGCTTCGCCTGTAGCCCAGCCCTGGCAGCAGAGCTAGCGCTCCCTGTGCCACCAACAGCAGCTTTTGCCCTGGCTCTCTCGCAGGGGTGGGGGCGTCTCTCCTTTATTTCAGCCCATCACTCCTAATTAGACCTCTGGAGCCCTGCCCTGACAGCCCCTGCCCTCCTTTCAGCCCTTTCCTGTAACATTATCCTTCTCTGCAGGGCAGGGTGCCGAGGGGCCCTGACAGGTGTGGGGGCAAAGACATTGAGATGGCCATGCCCAGCCCAGTCCCTCACTGTGTTAGTAGATGGCTTGGCAGTCAGGTGGCCCATGCCAGCTGATGTGGGCTAGGGGTTACAAGCACTGCTTCCTGGGGGGCAGGGGGCACTCTCTAGAGCAGGCGATAACCTGCTCCCATCCTTAGAAACATCGGTTCAGCACCTGAGGGGCGGCAATGCTCAGCTAGGGTTGCCAACCCTCCAGGTTTGGCCTGGAGTCTCCCGGAACCAGCATCGATCCCCCGGCGTCTACTGAAAGCCATCCAGGAGATTTTGATAGGCTATTTTAAGGAAACGACATTATGTCATGTTGGAAAAAAAAATCTCCTGAAATGGCTTCAGTCAGAGTAGGCCTTCCTAAGCTGAGCCCAGGCCTGGCCTGGCCACGTGGACCCATCGAGCACACACGCAGCAGGGCTCTTTGGAGAGAGCCAGCAGGGGCCGAGACAGGCCAGTGAGGCCCATTACTCTCAGCAACCAACCAGGCTCCACCCCACAGGCTGCGCTCCTGGCTCAGGGTGGGGGGCAGGGAGAGGCCTCTGGCTCTGGGTCCTCACATGAGCAGGATGCTGAGGACTTGGGCCCCAACAGCCAGGGCGCCATGCACCTCGTGCAGCCTGGGACACGCCACGGGTGTGGGGCGCAGGCGCTTACCGTCCTTGTTGTTGCCGGCACCCAGTGCCGAGAGGCTGAACAACAGCTGAGGTTGGTTCGTTACCCGGTGTGCTACACCCAATAATCACAACGGGGTGGAGAAGCAGAAAAGTTTATTTGAAGCTTCAAAAAGGTACAGGGAGATTTGAATCTCAAATCCTGTACAACAGAGCAGGAAGTTACACAGGCTTTTATACATCCTTTTTCCCAGCATACTTATCCAATAGCAAGCTGCTCCAAGTATCCATATAGCCAGCCAATCCAGTTCCCAGCTAGTTCCCTGATTCTCTGTATCATTTGTTAAACTATACATAAAGCTGCTTTATTCAGCATTGTTCTTCCATATCTCCCCTGTTTGGCCTTGCTTAGTTTCAGGCAGTCTGACTCTGCAACATACTGTTGCAGATTCTCAGCATAACTGCTGCGAGTGCCTCCAGGCGGGGGGGCCAAGGACACTTGGGCCTAGCACGCAGAGCTGCTGCGAGTGCCTCCAGGCAGGAGGGCGGGGGGGCAAGGACACCGGGGCCTAGTGCGAGGGGGCTTCATCGACACTCGTGGTCTTCCATCCCCTCGAGTTACCTAGTGGCCATGCCCCAGTGTTCCCAACATTGTGGACCCGCATGGCCGAGGCTGTGATGTCCGTCATCACGTTGAAGTAGGGGAGCCACAGATCCTGCAGGGGCACAAAGGGCTAATCAGAGACGTGTTACAGCCCAGGGTGCTGCTGTGGGGGCTGTGCAAGGCACCACGCTCCTTGGGCAAGGCCGGGCTCCAGGGAACACCGCTGCCGGCAGGGGGCGTTGCTCAGGGCTGCCCAGCAAGAGGCTACTTTGAGTGTTCTGCACCAGGACCCCTGCCCAGCTTCCTGGATCTCCCTACCTCAATCTGCTTGTCCTGGAAGACCTTGTTGATGCTGGTGTTGCCGGCACCCAGTGCCGAGAGGCTGAACAACAGCTTGAGTGGTTCGTTACCCGGTGTGCTACACCCAATAATCACAACGGGGTGGAGAAGCAGAAAAGTTTATTTGCAGCTGCAAAAAGGTACAGGGAGAATAAAATCTCAAATCCTGCACACAGAGCAGGAAGTTACACAGGCTTTTATACATCCTTTTTCCCAGCATACTTATTCAATAGCAAGCTGCCCCAAGTATCCATATAGCCAGCCAATCCAGTTCCCAGCTAGTTCCCTGATTCTCTGTATCATTTGTTAAACTATACATAAAGCTGCTTTATTCAGCATTGTTCTTCCATATCTCCCCTGTTTGGCCTTGCTTAGTTTCAGGCAGTCTGACTCTGCAACATACTGTTGCAGATTCTCAGCATAACTGCTGTGAGTGCCTCCAGGCAGGGGGGCCAAGGACACTTGGGCCTAGTACGCAGAGCTGCTGTGAGTGCCTCCAGGCAGGAGGGGGGGCCAAGGACACCTGGCCTAGTGCGAGGGGGCTTCATCGACACTCGTGGTCTTCCATCCCCTCGAGTTACCTAGTGGCCATGCCCCAGTGTCCCTAACACTGGTGTTGAAGGCTGAGCCGGAGAACATGGAGGTGATGGGGTAGGTGAGGTCCAGAACCGTCTCAAACACGGAGTTCATGCTCTGCAGGAGGAGGGCGAGGGGTCACTCCGCAGGGGGCACGGCCCAGCACAAGCAGTGTTTGGAGTCCAGGCTCATGGGGACAGGCAGGGAGGATTGTCGGGGAGCCGGCAGCGAGCCTGAAGCTCACAGGACACTCACTCACTGCATGTGGCTGTGAAGCAGGCGGTGCCCTGGTGCAGCCCCTCCACTTGGCATGCCAGCCCCGGAACTGCTGGTGGGGGGTGGCATGTCCTCCAGCCAAAGCACTGTGTGCCAACTAGCATGACGGCTTGTTACTGGGGATGTTGCGGTTCCCACCGGAACCCCCCTGCTGCTCGAGCCTGCTGCATGCGCAGAAGAGGCTGCCGTGCCTAGCAGCACAATGCTGCGGCGCGCCATGGGGCTCTCCGCTCCAAGCCAAGCAGACGTCCCAGGGCCAAAGGGAGGACAAACCCCCACAGCCTGCAGGCTTGCCTCTGAACTCACAGGGCAGAGCTGCACAGCATGGGCAGGGGGCAGAGACGCCTGCAGCAGAGAGAGCCTGGAGGGTCTCTAGGCCCCCTCAGGCAGAGCGATCAGGCCCCAGTGCATGCTGGGACCTCTGTATTGCACTTGCTGGCCGTGACGCCCAGCTCCCAGTGCAGCCCTGGGCCTGGCTGCCAGCGGCTGTGGGGAAGGCTGGGTCACGGGATGGCAGCTCTGGGAGGGGCTGGTTTGGGGAGTTCTCCTGCTCCCACCCTCCCAAGTCTGGCCCTGCCCCACAGCACACCCACCCTGTGTCTGCCCCACCCCACAGCAGGCCTTGCCCCTCACCTTGGCCCATTCACGGGCACGCTGCTTGGTGCGCACAGCACTGCGCTCTTCAGCATAGAGAGCCCCGATGAAGGAGCCAATGGATGTGCCCCCGATCAGGTCAATAGGGATCCCGGCTTCCTCCATGGCCTTGATCACCCCGATGTGGGAGTAGCCCCTGGGGGAGAGGGCGGGCTCAGAGACCAATGGCAGGCAGGGAGCCTGTCCCAGGGCCCATCACACGGCCCCAAACTCTGCAACCTGCCACGCAGCTGCCATGCCTCCAACAGGCCAGGCGGTCTGCAATGGTGCTCCCAGCATGCACTGCTCCGGGCAGGGTGGTGGGCAGCAGGGTCACTGTCCCAGCCCCAATCCCACGGCTCTTATTGAGAGGCAGTGTTCATGTACCACTAGGGACATGGGGCTGGGAGCGAGGACTCCTGGGTTCTATCCCCGGGTTTGTCCCCCCGGCCCACTGTAAAGCTGGGGTTGTGGATGCCTACGGCCCCCCTTTGGGGGCAGGTTTGCGCCTGGGTGCAGAGGAGTACCATGGGAATTCAGTGCCCCAGCAGCTCTGTGCCCACCCCCATGGGGTTTTGTCTTCCTTAGCACAGACAGTTTCGCCGTCTGGCACCATGCTGCACCAGCCCAAAGGGTCCTGGGGACGAGAGGGACAGTACCAGCTTGTTGGGGCTCCGGCGGGAGAAGACACGGCGTGGGCACTTGATGTGAAGGTGTCCTGAGCACCAGCTGCGCATGTTGAGCCACTCAACGGTGCGGGAGGGGCTGGGGCCGTCCTCCCGGTGCAGCAGAATCAGCTGCTTCAGGGCACGCACGGCTGTGTTCTCCAGCATCTGCTCCAGCTGCAAGGGCAGAACAGGGGCCCCTAGAATGAGTCACCTCCCTGGTGGAATGATCCCCGCCCCAGCACAGCACACACAGCCCCATCCCAATGCACAGATGCCCGCCCCGCACAAGCCTCCATCCCTGCACGACATATACAGCCTCTGCACAGCCCCCTCAGCAGGCAGTTCCCCCTCCCCCCTCCCAGCATGAGTCTGCTGCAGCCCAGCCCAGCTCATAGCCCCCCCCCCCCCCCCGCAGGATGAGCCCCCCACCCCTGTATGGCACGCACAGCCCTTCCCAGCAGGAGTCTGGAGGGAAGTTGCAGAAGGGACTTGGAAGCTGGTCACAGATTCCCACACCAGAGAGGACCACTGTGATCATCAAGTCTGACCTCCGCCTGATGCAGGTTAGAGGACTGCCCCCAAGGATTCCTAGAGCAGATCTTTTAGACCAGTGACTCTCAACCTTTCCAGACTACTGTACCCATTCAGGAGTCTGATTTGTCTTGCGTACCCCAGGTTTCACCTCACTTCAAATCTACTTCCTTACAAAATCAGACATAAAAATACAGAAGTGTCACAGCCACACTATTACTGAAAAATGGCTTCCTTTCTCATCTTTACCATATAATTATCAAATAAATCAATTGGAATATAAATACTGTGCTTACATATCAGTGTGGAGTGTACAGAGCAGTATAAGCAAGTCTTTGTCAGTATGTAATTTTAGTTTGTACTGACTTCGCCAGCGCTTTTTATGTAGCCTGTTGTAAAACTAGGCAAATAGCTAGATGAGTTGATGTACCCTGGGAAGACCCCTGTGGACCCCCAGGGGTACACGTATCCATAGGCGCTGACTCCGTGGGCGTTCCGAGGTTGGAGCACCCACAGGGAAATATTAGTGGGTGCTCTGCACCCACTGGCAGCCGAGCTCCCCTCACCCCCCTCCCCACCTCCTCCTCCTCCTCCTCATTCGCCCCCTCCCTCAGCGTCCCTGCCACATCCCTGCTCCTCCACCTACCTCCCAGCGCTTCCCACCTGGCCGCCACCAAAGAGCTGTTTGGCGGCGTTAGCACGCTGTGGGAGGAGGGGGAGGAGCGGGAACACGACGCGCTCAGGGGAGGAGGCGGGGAAGAGGCGGGATTTGGAGAAGGAGTTGGAATGGGGGCAGGGCAGGGGTGGGGCCTCATGGAAGGGGTGGAGCATCCAAGGTAAAGAGGGGAAGTTGGTGCCTATGCACGTACCCCTGGTTGAGAACCACCGTTTTAGACAACATCCCATCTTGAATTTAAAATGTCGAGTGAGGGAGAATCCACTGCCACCGCTGGTCAGTTGTTCCAATTGTTAATCACTCTGTCTGTCTCCTCTCTGACTTTGTCTAGCTTTAAGAAGAGCCCTGCAAAACCGCGGATATCCGCTTTATATCTGGGGATGTGGCTATCCGGGGACCATTTTCCGGCTTGCGGCTCAGATGCACATACAGATGTTGTTTCCGCCCAGGGCTCTGCAGAACATGCTAAGCCAAAGGGAGCGGCTGTCATCAGCCCTCAGGCTCCAGCTCAGCTCTCTCAATCATATAGGCCTAGCCCGCTGAGCATCCTGGGAGTTGTAGTCCCCAGCTTGCTTGGACAGAGGATATAAACTACAGCTCCCAGAAGGGAGTGAGCCAAGCGCCATTTGAAAGAGGTGCGGTTGTATTTTACATTAGCAAGTGGCAACTGCGGTGCTGTGAGGAGAGCAGCCTGTCTGTCCCGGCCGGGTCTGCGTGCGCTGGACCCGCCGCGGCTGCATAGGGCTGTCCGAGCCACTGGGAGGGTGGCGCTGCACATGAGGGCTCAGGATTGTAGCCTCCCTCTCTGGAGTGGGGCAGGATGTAGGGTTGCCAACCCTCCAGGATTGGCCTGGAGTCTCCAGGAATTAAAGATTAATCTTCAATTAAAGGTTATGTGATGTGATGAAATCTCCAGGAATACATCCAACCAAAATTGGCAACCCTAGGCAGGAGGGGCAGCAGGGACAGAGCCATCGGGGGGCAGTTGGTGTCACGGAGTCCCTGGGCGATGCTCTGGAACTGCTCCCCATGACACCAGGCAGGACTCTGGGGCAGTCGCCTTCCTATGAGCAGCCTGTCTTCAGGACACACAGCTTCCACCTTCCTGGGTCTGACCTCAGAGCATTCAGCATCCTCTGCCCCTCCGTGCGCTTCCCACAGCGAGTCCGCTCAGGCGGGGCTCCTGGGGAAGCCAGAGGGTCCTGCACCCCAACTCCGCAGTCAGACGTGACTCTCAGCCAGCCAGTAAAACAGAAGATTTATTAGACGACAGGAACATGGTCTAACACAGAGCTTGTAGGTGCAGAGAACTGGACCCCTCAGCTGGGTCCATTTTGGGGAGCAGTGAGCCAGACAACCACGTCTGCCCTTCACTCCATGTCCCCAGCCAGCCCCAAACTGAAACTCCCTCCAGCCCCTCCTCCTCTGGGCTTTGTTCCTTTCCCAGGCCAGGAGGTCACCTGATTCCTTTGTTCTCCAACCCTTTAGCTCTCACCTTGCAGGGGGGAAGGGCCCAGGCCATCAGTTGCCAGGAAACAGGGTGTCGGCCATTCTCTGAGTCCAGACTCCTGCACACACCTGCCCTCTAGGGCTCTGCAGTGATTATACACCCTTACCCCACCACCTAGATACTTAAGAACTGCATAGGGGAAACTGAGGCACCCCCACACTATTCAGAGGAAACATTAAGAACAGTCCCACTTTGTCACAGTTGGGGTCGGGGACTTGGCACAGTCCTGTGTCAATGCTGCACGGTGACCTGTGAAGCTGTTCGTAGAGCCCTGGATATCCGTGGGTATCTGCAGATGTCCCCATTCAGGGATGCAGAGATTCACAGACAATTTTTGCGGATCACGGATCGGATGCGGATATATATTTTTGTATCTGTGCAGGGCTGTAGCTTTAACTATCAGTGACTGGATCACGTTAGACCTTCCTCAGCTAGACTGATGATCCCAGTATCAAATATCTGTTCCCCAGATAGGAACTGAGATCTAGTCACCCCCTAACCCTCTCTTTGTTATACTAACTAGATAGAGCCCCGTGAGTCTGACTCTAAGGTAGGTTTCTAATCTTTTAATCTCATGGCTCTTCTCTGACCCCTCTCCAATTTACCCACATTCTTCCTGAATTGCAGGCTGCAGAGCTGGACACGGGATTCCTGTAGCAGCTGAACCAGTGCCAGATACGAGGTTAAACCTCCCTCCTCCTACTTGAGATTCTCCTGCTTATGCATCTCAGGATTGCATTAGCCCTTCTGGCTACAGCATTGTGCTAGGCGCTCATGTTCAGCTGCAGTGTAAAGACATTACCTTGGTTTCCCTTTAGGCTGTGTTATCAAGTGGTTGGGATGGAGCAGTGAGTCAGAATTCTGGGTTCTGATCCTGGCTCTGCCACTGCTCCCGTGATTTCAGCTAAGTTGCTATTTCCCCATCTGTAAAATGGGCCAACGCCTGCTTCTTAAGGGGGGATGGCCTGTGTAGCTTTGGGCCAAAAGGGGCAGTATGGTGCTGAGTTTCTAGCTGTGAAGAGTAGCTCCCTCGTGGAGTGATTGAATGGTATGGTCCATTCCATTCCGAAGACGTCCTGTTAGTCTGATCACTGTCTCCTGCAGGCTCATTAACGTCACCATCCAGTTTAAACTGAAGGCCATCAACATCCAGACGATCATTAACAATGAGATCCCGGACTGCTACACCTTCACCATCACTGTGAGTAACCCTGGCCCAGCTCTGAGCTGCACCTGCTTGCGCCAGAGAAATACATAGCCAGCACTCCCCCAGGGCTGCAGCTGCCTGAGGGAAGCATGGGAGTTTGGGATGAGTTAGAGATGGACAGGCCGTTAGCCTGTACAACCTTCTTCCTGGGAGACCACCCCACAGCCTGGTCGCTCTCGCTGTCAGGGAGCGCTCACTCTTGAGCAAAGGAGCGGTCAGGCTGAATTCCTCCGAGCGATGTGCCCCTGGGCCAGCGAGCGAGGGCAGGTAGCTCTTTGGGCTGAGTCCCTGGGGTGGTGAGCAGCCGTGACATAGGAGGAGGGAGCCAGGGAGGAGGTCAAGGTTTCTGGCCGTGGTGCAGTTCTAGTGGGGCTCTCAGCTGGAAAGACACTGTGAAATTGCCCTTGCTCCACAGTGCCACCTGCTGACTCAAGCGACGAAGTCTGCTGCTGCTCATTCCTCTTGGCCTGCAGAACCAGCTCAGGAGCTGGATTCCAACTGGCTCATGCGTCTGAGCCAAGAACTCTTCCCAGAGAGCCAGGAGGAGCCCAGCTGGGCTCCCTGAGCCTGCGGGGCTGCCAGGTGCACCCTCTCTGCATGGCCGCTCGCTGAGCAGGTTCTCCGTCAGAGGGTCAGTGTGAGACCCAGCTGTGCTGCTGGCACATGCTGCCCGGCAGAGCAGGACTACAATAAGGGAGTGAGAGTCCTGCGGCAGGAGCAGGGCTGGTGAGGACTATCCAGCCAGAGAGGTTCCTGGCCATCCCATTCCCTCCTCGCTGTGCAGTAGCAGTCTTCCTCTTCCTTCACCAGATCACGTTTGACAACAAGGCTCACAGTGGCCGGGTGAAGATCAGCCTGGACAACAAAGCTGACATCAAAGAGTGCAAGGACCCCAGTGTGTATGGCCGAGGTAGGGGGTGGGAAGGGCAGACAGAATGGGGGGCAGTCTTCCTCCTCCCCCCCCACCACTGCTAACTGGAAGGGCCATTGGTTTGGCTGCGCTAGCGTTGCTGTGAACCATTCAGGCCTGTCCATTCTAGAAGCCCCCTTTCACAGCAAATGTGACCTCGCCTCTGGGCTGAGCCTTCCTCAGCTAGATCTGTGCCGGGGGATGATTTGGGCAGGTGGAGGGATCTGTTCAGCAGCGTTGGAGTGATCTCTGGGTGATGTGACTCAGGGCAGGTGTCCATGGAAGACCATGCACCGCTCCTGTGATTGGAGCAGACACGCCTACTCCTGACTTCCTCACTCCCACGTAACTAAAATCCTGGCTTCAGGATGGGCACTGGGTGTCACCCCTGCTGTCTAGCAGGCTGATGGTGGTGGCTGCTCTCTGCTGGGCGTTCTAGGCCGGTGTGGCATGTGGGCTCCGGGCGCTGCTGTCTCCATTCTCAGACGCCTGAGCACTCCGTTCTTGTGGAGGAGCCTGTCTCCTTCGCTGCTTCTCCTCCACCAGGGCTGTCCTACACTGTACTCTGGGCTCCGCTTGGCCACCCTGGTGTTCCCTTGCTGAGGAGATCCACTGCCTCTTCCAGGAGACAACACCTTCCGCGTGTTCTTTGACGTGGCTGTGATCCTTGTTTGTGTGCTGTCCTTCATCCTGTGTGCCCGCTCCATCATCCGGGGCTTGATGCTGCAGCATGTGAGTACTGGCCTGGCCTGCTGGGCTGACCAGCATGAACCCTTCGAGTGCCACTGGGCAAACATCAGGCTCTGACAGCACAGCCCCTTGCACTCCTGCAGCCTCTCAGGAATGATGGGCCTCCACTTGGGTGTAAGGCTGTGCCTGCTGCAGCGATCCCCTTTGAGGCTGGGTCTCTCTGGCAGGAGGGAGGGTTCCCAGGGCATCTCCTATGAATCCCTTGAGGCACACATCTACTGAATAAGGCTGAGGGCCGTGGGCATCTCTGGGGGTGGAATGGCTCAGTCAGTCTGAGATGGAGCTGTCAGAGGCTGGAACCTGCTGCTCCCAGCTGAGTTGCCCTGGAGGTGAGCAGAGCATCAGACCAGTGAAGTGAGAGAACGTGATGTTCTGACCTGGTGAAAAGGGCACATATGAATTTTATTTTGAGCCAGGTAAAAATCTCTCTCTCCTGGAGCACTGGGCAGAGCTGGGAGTTTTGCTTTGTCTATTTCTCCCTCTGCAAGGGTGAGGATTCTGGGAGATGGGGCCCTGTTGCTCCCACTGGGGCCTTCTCCGCCCAGCAGCCATGTTCCAAACCAAACATCCCCAAGGGACTCTTGGGAGTCCACCTCAGCCACCTGCCTGGGGAGCGTTGTCCCTGCTGTGGGTCCATCACCGCTCTCCATCCTGCTTGCAGGAGCTGGGCCATTTCTTTCAGAGACACTACAACCAGGATGTCTCCCTGTCAGACCGCATGGAGTTTGTGAATGGCTGGTACATCCTGCTGGTGGTGAGTGATGTCCTGACAGTGTCTGGGACCATCATGAAGATCAGAATTGAGTCAAAGGTGAGGGCATGGCCAGGCATCCATTCCTGTGTGTGCTCTTCCCCCTCTCCCCCATGGGGCTGTGCCAGGGAACCCTCCCAGAGAATCTCTCTGGTAAAACATCTCCTCTGCACCCTGGGAATGCTGCCAGGGCAGGGGCACTGGCAGGGTGTGCAGAGCCACTGGAAGGCCACACCTTCGCTCCCAGCGGGTGGCGGCTGCTCTCTTGTGGCTGGGGCGCTGGGATTCCTCCTTGTGCCTCCCTGATAGGGTTAGGGGCAAGGACCCTGCTCAGTCAGGCCAGAGGAGAAGAGGAAGATGCTGGTCCTCTGGGAATGCACCATTTGCCCCCTGCCAGAGCTGTTAATAGCTGCAGCCTGAGGGGATTTTCACAGAGGAACTAGAGGAACCAGCTCCCTAGCGGCCCCAGGCCAGGGCACTCAATGGGAGTGAGTCACAAAACAGAGAAAGAAAAGGAGTACTGGTGGCACCTTAGAGACTGTTAGTCTCTAAGGTGCCACCAGTACTCCTTTTCTTTTTGCGAATACAGACTAACACGGCTGTTCCTCTGAAACAAAACAGAGAGGCAGCCAATAGTTTCACTGACAAGTGACTTTGGCTGTAGGGCTGGCAGCTTGCTGGGCATGGAGATCCCAGCCTAGGTGCAGATGTGGGCACTGCCAAACCTCCTGCCTGGGGTCATGTTCCCTCCTAACTCAGGGCTGTTTGTAAGATCAGTGCAGTAATCCTCTGGCTCTGTAGGCTCCTGCAGAGCTTGAGGCACCATTTGCCTGTTCTGTTCCCAGCAGGGAGAGAGGGACAGGGAAGGACCCACTCTGAGACTGGGTGGCCCGACAGCTGCATATGGGTGCCGGATTGCTGCTGTCCCCATGCTCTGGAGTGAGGGAATGATCATGCCTACTGAGCACGTCTGAGTGTTTAGTGAAGTCCTGGTCTGCGCAGGTCCATACGGGGCCCTGAGTGACGATCCCCCTCCAGTGTACAGCCCCTCCCCGCCACAGACAGTAACGTAGGGGACCCAAGTCACTAGGTACTCGTGCCAGGTCTTTGCCTAGTTTAAAAGGGCCCGAGTGGCTTCCTCCCTTCCCTTGGGAAACCATGCCAGGTACCGAGCCAACCCTGTCCTGAGCCCAACCTGTTCTGGCCCTTGGCCCATCCCAAAGGGGACCCCTGGCCGGGTTAGGACGGTCAGATTCTGCTGTTGTCCTGGAGCCAGGCTTGGGAGTGATCAGTCTCCTCCTCTCCCCTCTGATTGGTCCTGTTGCTTTTTGCTGACCTGCCCTCCCCTCGCTCGCCTCCCCACTCCAGAGGCTGCAAGGCCTTTCCTGATGCAGATCTTTTCCAATCCATCATGTTCCAAATGCATAACGGGCTGCGGGCTGCCCTCGGTGTCTTGTATTGCTGCTCCTCGGGCTCTCCTGTCCACCTGCCGGTAGCTGTCAGCTGGGTTCTGCTCCCCTGGCTGTAATGGATTCATAGATTCCAAGGGCAGAAGGGACCATTGGGATCATGTGGTCTGGCACAGGCCAGAGAACTTCCCCAGAGCAGAGCTCTTAGAAAAACATCCAATCTTGAATTAAAAATTGCCAGTGATGGAGAACCCACCACAGCCCTTGGTGGAATGGTAGTGAGTGCTGGGTAGTCCGGGATGCTAAGCACCTCAGCTCCTGTGAATGATGGGAGGCACGTTTGCTGTGAGGAGCGGGGCCGCCTGATGTGTCTGTGTCTGTGTCTGTGTCTGCAGAACTTGGCCAGCTACGACGTGTGCAGCATCCTTCTGGGCACCTCCACACTCCTGGTCTGGGTTGGGGTCATCCGCTACCTCAGCTTCTTCCAGAAATACAATGTGAGTGATGCCTGCGTGCAGACGCACACAGCATGTAGCGAGAGAGCTCTGTCCCAGTGAGTGGCAACGCTGCTCGAGGTGCTGTATTCTGCTCGAAGCGAAGGCCTGGGCAGACTTTGCCCCCTCAATCCTGACCTGCAGCATGCCACTGCATCTCCCTACCCCTGGCTCTTCTCTCACAGCTCTGCCGATACCCCTCAATCCTGACTTGCAGCCCTGTGATTGCAGATGGGGTTCACACCCCCCCAGCTCTGCCAGTGCCCCTCAGAGCTGACTTGCAACCCTCCGGCTATTCCAGCCTTGCTCTCTCAGCAAACAAAACTGGAACAATTCAGTGTAAACCTGTTGTGTTAGCTAATGCTCTGTCCACTCCACATTAGTGCTCTGAAAGAATGGTGCTTCCAATGCTCCCTTTGAGAATCATTTTGAAGCCTGCTGAAAGAACAGGAGGACTTGTGGCACTTTAGAGACTAACATATTTATTTGAGCATAAGCTTTTGTGAGCTACAGCTCACTTCATCGGATGCATGCAGTGGAAAATACAGTGGGGAGATTTTATATACACAGAGAACATGAAACAATGGGTGTTACCATACACACTGTAAGGAGAGGAGTACTTGTGGCACCTTAGAGACTAACCAATTTATTTGAGCATGAGCTTTCGTGAGCTAGCTCATGCTCAAATAAATTGGTTAGTCTCTAAGGTGCCACAAGTACTCCTTTTCTTTTTGCGAATACAGACTAACACGGCTGTTCCTCTGAAAACTGTAAGGAGAGTGATCAGGTAAGGTGAGCTATTACCAGGAGAGAAAAAAAAAACCAAAAAACCTTTTGTAGTGATAATCAAGGTGGGCCATTTCCAGCAGTTGACAAGAACATGTGAGAAACAGTTGGGGGGGAAAATAAACATGGAGAAATAGTTTTACTTTGTGTAATGACACATCCACTCCCAGTCTTTATTCAAGCCTATTTTAATGGTGTCCAGTTTGCAAATTAATTCCAATTCAGCAGTCTCTCACTGGAGTCTGTTTTTGAAGTTTTTTTGTTGTAATATTGCAACTCTTAGGTCTGTAATCAAGTGACCAGGGAGGCTGAAGTGTTCTCCAACTGGTTTTTGAATCATATAATTCTTGACATCTGATTTGTGTCCATTTATTCTTTTACGTAGAGACTGTCCGGTTTGGCCAATGTACATGGCAGAGGGGCATTGCTGGCACATGATGGCATACATCACATTGGTAGATGGGCAGGTGAACGAGCCTGTGATAGTGTGGCTGATGTGATTAGGCCCGATGATGGTGTCCCCTGAATAGATATGTGGACACAGTTGGCAACGGGCTTTGTTGCAAGGATAGGTTCCTGGGTTAGTGGTTCTGCTGTGTGGTGTGTGGTTGCTGGTGAGTATTTGCTTCAGGTTGGGGGGCTGTCTGTAGGCAAGGACTGGCCTGTCTCCCAAGATCTGTGCGAGTGGTGGGTCGTCCTTCAGGATAGGTTGTAGATCCTTGATGATGCGTTGGAGAGGTTTTAGTTTTAGTACCCAGAAGTTACCTGCTAAAGGACAGGCCCAACAAAGAAAGTAACAGAACGCACCTAGCCGTCACCTTCAGCCCCCAACTAAAACCTTTTGAAATGAATTTACCTTTTCTCACTGCTTTTAAAACCAGTGGGTAGCAGCAGCGAGGAATCGCCCTCTCTGTCCTATTGCACTGTTTAGTGCAGCATAGGGTCTGGAGCAGGTGAGGCTGCTACCACAGAACCTCTGGCCCATGGCTTGGCTCGGCCTGGCTTGGCTCTGCCAGAGCCTCTGCTCCTGGTCAGGCAGCGCTAAGCAGCGGGTGGCGAGAGAGGCAGGAGGAAGTGAGGCAAGCAGGAAATGGGAGCCCTCAGGGGCCTGTTCCTGTTGCTACCCTGCTGGGGGATGTTGGCTAGTCCCTTCCCCTCTCTGCACCCATTTGGGGAAGGGGGCTAATGGCCGGATAGAGCTTATAGCAAAAGGCCCTGAAGAGGGAAGATCTGTGTTGCTGGTAGCTCTGCTGCCATTGAGCCTCGATGGTCACGCAGCGCTGCTCCAGCTCCCCATGTGGCTTAGCTCCAGGGTCTGCCTGGCCATACTGTACTCAGGGGCTTGGCTCTCTGTCCCATGTGCAGTTCCGCTCCCTCTCCATGGTGTCCGAATGCCTCTTCTCCCTCATCAATGGGGATGACATGTTCGTGACCTTCGCTGAGATGCAACAGAACAGCTACCTGGTGTGGCTCTTCAGCCAGCTGTACCTCTACACCTTCATCAGTCTCTTCATCTACATGGTGCTCAGCCTCTTCATTGCACTCATCACCGGCTCCTACGAGACCATCAAGGTCAGGCTGGGGAGTGCTGCCTTCCCTGGGCTGCAGGCTTGTCCGAGCCGAGAGCCATGTCCAACCTGCATGAAATGGACCTTGTCTCAGGTTCCCTCAGCCACCTCCGTCTTGGGGTGGAGCACAGCATGTTGGGACATGAAGCCCTTCCAGCAGGGAGTATTGTGAACTCCATGGGCTGCCCTCTTAGAGTGGTGCCAACGGTGGGCTTAGTTACCCAGTGACAGGAGTGTGGGCTAGGACACGTCCCCTCCCCCGGGCCTAGCTGCAGCTGGCAGTCATCGCCTGGGGACGTGGTTTGGAGACAGCTTTGCTTGAGACCATAAGCACTTGTGTGCCTGAGCCAGCCCGTTCCCAGTACGACCCAGGGGCTCCACCAATTCAAATCCAAAGTGGCGCCACCTATGGTCCCTCCGGCCCTAGCATGTCTGGCAGTGCTGCCATTGCCCTGTTGCTGCCAGCCCTCCAAGGGCTGTGGGGAAGGGGAGTGAGGGCTCTGGAGTCTGCCCTCATGTGTATTGAGTGGGGAAGTCCTCTCTGGGGAGGCTTTGGCTTTCTCTTCAGTTCTGTGGAACTTTTCCTTCCACCACCACCCTAGGTAACCCATTCCAATGCTTCATCACCCTCCTAATGAAATAGTGGTTCCTAATATCCAATCTAGACCTCCCCCACTGCAACTTGAGACCATTGATTCTTGTTCTGTCATCTGCCACCACTGAGAACAGCTGAGCTCCATCCTCTTTGGAACCCCCCTTCAGGTAGTTGAAGGCTGCTACCAAATCCCCCCACATTCTTCTCTTCTGCAGACTAAATAAACTGAGTTCCCTCAGCCGCTCCTCGTAAGTCATGTGCCACAGCCCCCTAATCATTTTCGTTGCCCTCCGCTGGACTCTCTCCAATTTAACCACATCCTTCTTGTAGTGGGGGGCCCAAAACTGGACGCAATACTCCAGATGAGGCCTCACCAGTGCTGAATAGAGGGGAATAATCACTTCCCTCGATCTGCGGGTAATGCTCCTACTAATGCAGCCCAATATGCTGTTAGCCTTTTTGGCAACACGGGCACACTGCTGACTCATATCCAACTTCTCATCCGCTGTAACCCCAGGTCCTTTTCTGCAGGTCCTTTTCACCAGTTCCTTATCCACCTTTCAATTCCCATATTAAACCCCATCTTCTCCTATTGAGCTAATAATTTCCCAATTGTATCAAATGCCTCACTGACATCCAGATAGATTAGATCATTAGTTCTCAAACTGGGGGTCACAACCCGGTTATGTGGGGGGGTCGCGAGCCCTGACCCCTGCGCCAGGCTGTGAGCCCCGACCACGACGCATGGCTGTGAGACCCGACCCCTGTGTGGAGCTGCGGGGCTACGAGCCCCAACCCGGGCGTGCAGCTGTGAGTCCCAACCCCTGCGCCGGGCTGTGAGCCCCGACCCTGACAGGGATGCGAGGCTGCAAGCCCTGATCCCGGTGCACATATGCGAGCCCCGACCCCGGCGCGTGGCTGTGAGTCCCGACCCGACCCCTGCGCGTGGCTGTGAGCCCCGACCCTGGCACGCGGCTGTGAGCACCGACCCGTGCGCGGCTGTGAGCCCCGACCCTGACAGGGATGCGAGGCTGCAAGCCCTGATCCCGGTGCGCATATGCGAGCCCCGACCCCGGCGCGTGGCTGTGAGTCCCGACCCAACCCCTGCGCGTGGCTGTGAGCCCCGACCCTGGCACGCGGCTGTGAGCCCCGACCCCGGTGCGCGGCTGTGAGCCCCGACCCTGACAGGGAATCATGCCTGTGATCCCCGAGTCTGACTGCCATGTGTGGTTGCGAGTCCTGACCCGAACCAGGAGCGGGGCTGTGAGCCCTGAGCTGGGGCCTCCAGGACGCTGTGAGCCCCGACCCCTGTACTGGGGTTGTCAGGCAGAGCTCAGCCATGTTGAGGGTTATCAGCCGGGAGCACACACAGGGTTGTCAGCCCCGAGCCCCGCCACCCACTGTGTTTTAGTCTTAATTTAAAAGCAGTGAGAAAAGGTAAATTCATTTTAGGCAATAGGGTTTAAATTTAGTATTTAGCATAGTGTTAAATATCAAAAATCGCTGGATTAGATCTACTGCATTTCCTTTGTCTAAAACCTCAGTTATCTTCGCAGAGAAACAGATCAGGTTGGCCTGGCGGGACCTACCGATTGTAAAACCAGGTTGTATTTTCTCCCAGTTACCGTTCACCTCTATGTCCTTTATTACTTTCTCTCTCAAAATGTGTCCCAAGACCCTGCAGACAGTTGAGGTCAAATTAAAAGGCCTGTAGATACCTGGACCACGTTTTTTTCCGTTTCTCAAACATAGGAACTATATTAGCAATTCTCCACTCCCCCGCCCCCCCCCCGAGTTTACAGAGTCATCAGAAATCCTTGCTATTGAGCTTGCAGTTCCGTGTGCCAGTCCCCTTACTCTGCATGGATGGAGCTTATGGGGGCCAGACCGGCTCAGGATTTGGATGGGGGATGTTCAGAGAAAGCCCAGTTCCCCAGGCTGTGCTGGGGGCTCAGCAGGAGGTGCTCTCCCCTCACAGCCATTGCTGGCCCCAGTGTGGTGCTCGGGGCTGCAGTGAGTGGGGTGGGAGGACCCAGTAGGGGGCGCTCGCCCCTTCTAGTCTGTGCCGGCCCCAGCACAGTGCTCAATTTGTGCTATTTTGGGGGTTGTAAATCTAAGCTCCTGAGCGCTTGTCACGAAGGAGCCCATGTGCAGCGCAGCCTGGTGTCTGGGCCAGGCCCAGCTCCCCACGCTCTGTGCAGCGCAGTGCAACTAGATGTGGGATTCTTCACTTGTCCTAATCGACTGTGCTGTGTGGCTGTTAAAGAGCTGCTCCGTCCCACCCCAGAGGTGGCTGCATCTCAGTGCTGGGCAAAGGATCCCTGTATAAATAGCCCCTGCACCCCACCCCAGAGGTGGCTACATCGCAACCCCAGGGATGAACTGAGTGACTGGAATACAAGTGACTCTAGTCCTGGGAGTGACCAGGACTGCTGGGCCTTTTGCCGGGGAGGTGGGCAAGGCCTCACCAGAGATTGGGGCCCTGGGGTGGTGCAAGGCCAGGGCTGAGATTCCTCTGGCTATGGGAGCCCAGTGACGCAGTCAGTGCCCCACCCCCAGCCAGCCCTCCCCATTCACTGAGCCCTTCGTGCCAGCCATGTCGCTCTGAGTCGCACTAGGTGCCACTCGATAGGTCACCTGCAATCACACGGTTTCTTTTCGGTGCCTCGACTGGGCAGCGGGTAATGAGCGGTGGATAACGGATTCTCTAGGCCAGGACTACGGACCTGCTCCCCTGCTGTGCCAGGGATGCCCCGCTGGTCCCATCTCTGCCCCAAGAGCCTCCCCCGCAGTCCCTGGCAGGGAAGGGATTGCCCCACTGCCAGCACCCAGCAGGCCTATGTGTGACATGAGGTTGGGGGTCTCAACCCCGTCCCTAGGGGGATGGGTCCATGCTCTAACGGGCATTAGCTAGCAGCCAAGGACTGGCCAAGAGTGCCCCCCACTTCTCAGGCAGGGCAAGGGATGGGGTGCAGAGTGATCTGCTGTGGGGCCCAGGCCCTAAGTTTCTGGGGCTGGCAGCACTGCCCCAGCGATGAACCTCCCTGAGAAGCAGGGAGCAGCTGCCGGGTCCAAAGCCTCCCAGCAAACACTGGCCATTCGGCACCAGCCAGGGGAAGGTCTCGCACCCAGGCCATTCTGGATCAGAACCGTGTGTGGGGAGACGGGAGCTGAACACGGACCCCTCTCCAAACTCCCAGCAGCCCCCAGGGCCTTGTCCCTGCAATCCCTCTAACGCCATGAGGCCCAACAGTGGGGAACCCAGCCCCTTACCTGGCTGGCTCCTCCCACGGCCTTGACGCTGGCCCCAGTTCAGCCCAGTTCCCCCACTCTGCAGGGCACTGGAGAAGCCTCCATTGGCAGCTTTGCTGCTGGCATTCTGTGGCAGCTCCTGCCGAGGCCCCAGGGCCCAGGCCGGGCAGCGCTGCCCTCCCAGGGGGCTCGTTAGCCAGGGCCATGCAGAAGCCTGGGGCCCAAAAGCCAACCATGGCTCCCCAGCCGGGAGCGGGTTTCCTTGACACCTGGGTTCCCCAGGGGGCCAGATCCTAAAGAACAGGAGGGGAAGATGCAGAAAGAGGAGAGCTGTGCACGGGGCCGTGGAGCGGGGAGAAGGGACAGAGAGACGTTTAAATCAGAGGGGCAGAGGGCGCGCCCCATCTTCCTCAGAGCCCTGGGCTGGCCTGTGCCCCCTAGCACCAGGGGTGGGGGCGGGAAAGTGACTTGCCTTGCCCCAGAGAGCCAAGGCCACTGGCCGTACCAGAGAGGCAGTACGGCTGCAGGAACCGCCTCCCTCCCACCAAGCCGGGCTCCGTGGGGCCGGGATTCAGGCCTGGGGAGCTTTGGCCTTGTGGAGGGGACTCCAGCACTGGGGAAAGGGCCAGCTCGACTGCCCCAGAGCCCAAGGCTTGCGTCACACCCCCATCCCCCACGCCAATGGCCCTGCCCTGAAGGGACCCATCTAGGGGCAGAGCAGAGCTTAGGCTCTGTAGCTCCAGCGTGCCGGTCCCACAGCCGGCAGGCAACGCGGGTGCTGTCCCAACAGGAACTGGACTGAGCCCCTCTCCACAGCCACCACCCACTGTCAGACACTGCTCCCCGGGACAGATTGGAACCCATGCCCCAGAGAGGAGAGACGCCCCCTACCCCCGCCAGCCCAGAATATTATTATTCATCTTACATAGCACTGTCCAGCAAAACACTTCCCAAAGGAGGTCAGTGTCATCATCCCCACTGTACACATGGGGAAACTGAGGCAGAGGGCAGGGAAGGGATTTGCTCAAGGTCACCCAGTGGCAGAGCCAGACATAGACTTCCAGTCTGCTGCATCCCAGTTCAGTGCTTTACCCACTAGGCCACACTGCCTCCCTTGACTCTGTGGCCATAGCTCGGGAGCGGCTTTCCCTCCACGCACTGCCAGGGGGAGCCATGAGATGTTTAGTATTGTCTGTCCCAAGTGTGGGGAGGCACAAGCCACCCCAGCTCCCACACAGGTGCCTCTGTCCAGATGGCACGAAGGCCGAGCGGGCCCATCAGCTTTGGTGCCCCTCTTACCCCCCAACATTCAGAAGTCACTGGTCAGGCCTCAAAACCATGAGATTTGCTTAAAAAATCACAAGATTTTAATATTCATTTGCATTCTGGCGTGGCTGTGTTTGGGAGGCGCGAGGTCTGGGGCTTCTCCTCCACGCCGAGGGGGGGCACTTTATATAATGAAAAACCGGTGACTCACTTTCTCGTAACTGTTGTTCTTCGAGATGTGTCGTTCATGTCCATTCCAAGCAGGTGTGTGTGCGCCGCGTGCATGCCAGCCGGGAGATTTTTCCCCCAGCAGCATCCGTCGGGTCGGCCTGGGTGCCCCTGGGGTGTGCCTTCATGGCGCCTAATATCGAGCCCCGCTGACCCCCCACCCCCTCAGTTC